ACACCGGTTACATTTGGACTCTGTACCTCCGACATTGGTGACCTATTGTCCTCGACATTTTGATCTTGTTGGATGGCATTTTGGACTACCATATCAGTGACCTATCAGATTCTATCTCGGTGACTTTCAGTGCAGACCCCACCATCTCACGATTGTATGTGTGTGGAGTGATGCTATGTGAGTCAGTCTATGTGAGTCAGTTCGTTTATCAGACTTCCGCTGCATACATGCTCATCCTATATTGGTTGATCTTTGGTTCTGCCCATTCTCATCGAAGTATGCAACAGGCGGCTTACGTTTAATGGTGTCGGTGGCAGCGGAATGGTTTCGGTACTGCATAGTAGCAGGGTGGGTAGTGTTGAGGACTTTCCCTCTTGCTTGCGATTGATCTGGCGCTCTGGGTAGAGCGGGTGGGGTTGGAAGTTATATGGACAGTGGCATTGCCATCAGAGAATATTGGTGCTTGTCTTTGCTTGAGGGGGTACTTGCATAATTGCATTGTAATGGCTATATATTCCTGAGAATGACCGCAGCATCAAAAGTTGGTGAGATAATTTGAGGTTGGTGGCAGCATCATCAACTGACATCAAGTAATTCTCCTGACCGCATCTGCACTTCATTATTCATCTTACGGTGAGGTCAATCTCTTGTACAGTGAGTTTTTATCTCTTGTACAGTTTTACATGGTGAGCTGCGAAATTTCAAGAAAACGAACAAGATGATTGTTACAGTAGCTAACGTAACGTGGTCATTCCATCTCATTTTCATGAATTTTTTTTTGAAAAAAAAAAAAAAAAAAAAAAAAAAAGGTGGTATAACATCGTACCCTTCGTAGGTGAGTACGCCAAAAATGGCATCCACTCCTGAACAGACTGTACATGTGCGATTCAGAAGGCCCATTGAGAGCAAACAACCATCAAGATCATCAGAGCAGCGAAAATCGAAAGGGGCTTATGAACGCAAAGAAGAGGCCTGCCTTGAAAGTTTCTGAGGTAAACCATCAAATACAATAATTCTTCGAGTAGAGAAATACGAGGAACAACGCTACGTAAAAATGTGTCCATCTCCCTCAGCGCAAGCTACAAAATCTCCTGGGAAGACATTATTACTGTATCATCGTATAAAGAATCAGTCTAAGACTCTAAACCTATCCGTCCACAGCTCCGATTCCCGTGCGGGGAACCATCGAAAGCACCAGAATGAAACTTTTCTAAGGGACATCACAGAAGGGAGAATTGAACAAGAAGAAAGGACGGAGGAGGAGTGGAATCAGTTGATGGACTCCGCTTGATTCGTCCGTGCCAACGTCAGCCGAGCCGCTGACATACGAGCTTGTCAGAGAATCAGAGATGTAGCAATCCTCGTTGCTGACGAGGCCAATGTGAGTTGATGGAAGGTAAACGCCCACAACTTCAGTGCTGGCCGGCCACAGCCATGACAGGGGACTCCGTCCACTCAGCCGTCCCGTTCGGACAAGAGGCAGCAACGCAGAGAACCGGCTTGACGAAGAGGGACAGAGGAACTAATAAGTGACCATAGGAGTCGGATTCCAGGGGCAAGTTACTTAAAATAGATTAGGAAGTGAGGCAAACAGCCCGCGCATCACCGCGCGTCCCAGGGAAATTAGCACGCATGGACGGTGTCACCGGCGAATTTAAGGAGACGCACTCCTACTCCTCTTTCTACCTATCCGCTCTTCGTTCAATGGTCGAACCACCAAATCATGATAGAGGCTGTGACGACTCCTGATAAGCTGATCGGGCCACAAGTCCGACCCCTTTATCGTTTTCTTTTTCTGATTTTCCCTTCTCTCAAATTCACCTTTCAGGCTTTCACTACCCACCCGCCACTACTCCTAAGGCTATGTAGGTGGCCTTGCAAGTATCTGGACTTCCTTCGGCTCCATGAAAAAGTAAGAAAATAAATCATTCATGGCACGACCAAAGGACATGGGAGAGCTCATCATGTCAAGAGGTCGGACAACGATGCAGACGGACGGCACTACCGTCTTGACCGGAATAAAAAGCCCTGTCATTAGAGCTGTGTTTGGTTAACCTTTCTCTCCAGAGACAGCTATAATGACCGGGCGTTGTACTCGGGTGACGACGGAAACGAACACCGGGTTAAGCATTACGTGCGTCCGACTGAACATCGCATAAATCCTGCCGATCTACGAATTCAAAGCGGAAAGAAGTGGGATATGCCCCTAAGCATTACGTGCGTCCGACTGATCATCGCATAATGCTGCTGATCGCCATCCTCGCTTCCATTGTCTAACTAGATGATGTGATTTCTGTCTTCTGTTTTGTTGATCCGTATCTCGTACAGCCCAGTTAAGCACTAGCAAGTAGTAGCAACCTAACCGTTGAACACTGGCAACCTGGGGGCGTCGCAGATCACACTCTTTCGGTCCCCTGTTTGACCGGGGCCTTGGCCTGGAAAGCATCTGGCGGCAGCAGTTTGGCGTCTTGACCCCCTTTTCCGTCGTCGAAAACGTAGCTGGAGTTGCCATGCGCGGTGAGGTCAAGTCCGGCGGCCTCCTCCTCCTGGGTGATGCGCAGTAGGCCGAACATCTGTAGCGCGTAGAACAGGACGCCCATCGTAACCGCCGTCCAAGCCGCGATGCAGATGGCGCCGATGAGCTGAGCCGCCAGCAACTTCCCGCCGCCTCCGTAGAAGAGCCCGTACGGAGTGCCTTCGACCTTCCCATATGCTTCCATGAGGAAGCTCTTCTTGGCAAGCAGTCCGACGAACACGACACCGAGCAGGCCGCAACCACCGTGCAGCTGGAATGCCTCCAGCGGGTCGTCGTACTTGATCCTCTCCGCCAGCCTGTTCATGCCGATCAACGTCCAGGCGGCGAGGAAGCCGAGGAGGATGGCGGCCCAGGGCTCGATGACTGAGCACCCCGCGGTTACGGCCGCGAATCCGCCCAGAAGGCCGTTGCACACGTCCGTCACGTTCCAGTGACCCGTCATCCACCGCCTGGCGAAGAGCGTGGTCAATGCGGCGGCGCCACCGCTGAGAGTGGTGGTGACGGCGGCTCTCGCGACGATGGCGTGCTTCAGAACGCCGTCAGCGGGAACGATAGCGGTGAGCGAGCCGGGGTTGAACCCGTACCAGCCGAACCAGAGCAGGAAGGTTCCCAGGACCACCAGAGTGCCGCTGTGACCCTTCATCTCCTGCGTGCGGCCCTTGGCGTCGAATCGCCCCAGGCGAGGGCCCTCGATCCAGGCGCCCATGAAGCCGGCGATGCCGCCCGTCATGTGCACCACGCCGCTGCCCGCGAAGTCGACCATGCCGACATCCAGGAACATGTTGCCCGTGTTGAAGGCGCTGATCCACCCGCTGGGCGCCCACACCCAGTGCGCAATCACCGGGTACACGAAACCCGTCAGGAAAGTGGAGTAGGCCAGATACCCCGTGAACTGCGTCCTCTCTGCGATGGACCCGCTCGTGATCCCCGCCGCGGCAGCGGCGAAGGCCCACTGGAACATCCACATGCCGTAGTTGGCAAGGGCGTCGTCGGCGCTGAAGTGGGACTGCGCGAAATTGTAGTCGCCGATGAAGGCGTTCGACTCCGCTCCGCCCCCGAATGCGAACGCGAACCCGAAAACGAAGAAGGAAATGGCACCGGCAGCGGCGTCCATGACGTTCGTCAGCATGATGTTCAAGGCGTTCTTGGCCCGCACGGACCCGGCGCAGAGCATGCCGAATCCTGCCTGCATTGCGAACACCAGGTACGCGGAGAAGAGCAAGAACATGGCGTTCGTGCCAGTCACGGCATCGCCGATACGACCGTCATAGCCGCAAACGAAGTCGGTGAGCACCGCAGATTGATTCACGTCCAATTTGGCAGCACTGGCAACCGCAGCCAGAGCCGCCTCTAGGGTGCTGTTGCACGCCATCACGACCGCCGCTGCACCTCACCTGCCTGCAAAAGAAAAGAATGCCGGAGGTGGGGGGTGGGGGGAGGAGGGGAGAACAAAGGAGGAGATCGGAGGGAAACAAGCAGCGAACGCCCCCGACGGCCGGCAGGCCGACGTTCGGGAAGTCAGTCACATGCTCAAAAGTATGGATACAACAGACGCAGACACAAATGCACACACACACACATACACACACACACACACACACCGCGTTTGCATTCAATTCTCTCACTGTGTCAGAACATACTCACACTCAGACTGAATCAATAACGACTCAAAGGAAAAGGATGACAGCCGTTCGCTCGTTTTTCATGCCCGAAACATTTCCATTAACCGTATGTTTCGCAAAGGCTTTCGACATCGCATCGCAACGAGTTCGTATGCGAAGAGGAAAGGAAAGCCTCTCTTTTGCATCGGGATGTGGCTTGCTTTCCCGCCGGCGAGCAAGCCAAGCGAAGGCCTGCGACTCGGAACCGTCTATGCTTAGCGTCTATATGTTCGGTGCATGACTTCTAGTAGATTTTCGGTGCATGAATCYAAGTCGTCGCAACATCGGGCGACAGGTGTTGCACTTCAGCTTCTTTCGATGTACTTCTGTGCTCGGCGATCCGAGATACGCACGGAGTTATATTTCCTTATTTTTATTTACACAAAGAAGTGATTTCCCTCGAGTATGCAGAACATACATTGCATTAAAAAACACATGCCAAGCCAAGCCCCTCCCCTCGCAAAAGAAAGAAAGAACGAAGAACGCAACCGCCATAACCATATCCAAAGAAAAAAAGACTTTGTACATGGTGCACCACTCCGCAGGGCGACGCCAATCGCGAATAACAATACACGCAAGCCACGCTCGATCGCCAACGAAGGTCATTTGGCATGAGGGAGAGTCTTAACCCCAGGGAGACCCCATGTCTTACGGCCGATTTGACTACAAAGCAGTTCTATTTATCTGGGGCAACAACGGTCGATTTCACCATTCTAGCGTGGGATGACGCGCCCTTTCCTCTTCACGGAGAAAATACACATTGGAATATCCAACCCGGCCCGATCGATTCTCGTCTTCCCCTCCCTCCTGACGGACTCTCCGTCCATCCGATCCCCCTCTCATATTCGGGAAGAATTCTTACGACCAAATGACAACGGTTCGAGCAACTCGCAAGCCCCCCACATCTTGAACGCACCTGGTCATCCCGTTGTCCGGATGCGTTCACAATCTTGGCGGATTGCGACTGGTGCAACTAGAACGCACCTGGTCATCCCCTTGTCCGGATGCGTTCACAATCTTGGCGGATTGCGACTGGTGCAACCAGGCCCGAGGTGACAACGGACGAACAACGCAGGATGAATCGCACCCAAAGCAAACACGGCTCCGGGACGAAAACGGAACTACTATCGCAGCAGTAGTAGTGAGCGCAATTCGCCCACCATCTGCGCAAGGAACCACAACGTGGCAACACTCCCCCCCCCCCCTCTTCAACCCCCCCCCTTGCAAATGGTGGGAGGACAGACAACATCACCCTCGACTGAGTTTTGAAGATTAATTAACCGACATATACGATGACGGCCAAGCCTTAATACAGTATATATAGCCATACGTATGATTGCACGCGAACCACAAACAGCGCCTCCAGATTCCAGACAGATCGATCGAAGAACGCCGAACGGCATTGCATTTTCACTATTATTCAGAGCGAGCGACGATGACAAACTCAGCCAAGTTCATTAATTTTTTACCCACACTGTCAGACGAACGTTGCGTGAAGTCATCCACTCAGTGATAACTAAGCATGCGTGCGGCACGCGCACAGGTCACGCACTGACTCAACCACGAGATAGACGGGACGATCAAGACGGAGAGTGCTCCAGAACGTGAACCAAGCGCGAAACGCGAAAGCCGCACGCACGCGCGAGGGGGATTGGGTGATCGCGTCAGATTCCCATAAGCGGTGAGAGGGACTCACCTCCTTCCCGTTTCTAAATTTCCTGTCTCTCTCTGCTCGGCTCCGCCGGCCGTCACACGAATTGAGACTCTATGTCTATGCAACCAGATAGATCTATGCGGCGCAGCAGAGCGCGCCGCGGTTGTTCCTCTCCTCTCCCTCCCGTGCTTCAGCTGCGCCCACCAGCTCGCACGCAGCAAACAATCTTCTTCCTTCCTGCCCGAAAGCCCGGGGTTGATCGTCCTTATCAAAAACGTAAACAGAGAAAGCAGTACTCCACCATGTCTCGCCCTCTCTACTCGCTCTGCGACGCTTACACCAGCCGGGAACTACGAGCACCAGCTCAAGTACGGCCCGCCCTACAACTGCTCTCGGCTCCTCCGTACCAGGCGCAACGTGGTGTTGCCAAGCACTAGACGCTTTTATCATTGATTCCCTCACTGTCTGACTGACCGAGCGACTGGGTGTCTCGTGTTCACATGGCACAAGAGATGCTCAACTGCCCACCGCACCCTTGTTCCATCTCTCACGTGCGCGTCCCAGGTTTTCCATCCTCTAATTATTCACTCATTGAATTGAACTCCCCCAGGGTGTACTGCTCCCAGGTTTTAGGCCCTCCAACCATTCATCGACTCATTCATGGATGGATCCTGCGCACACAGTGCCCAGCCATGCTGCTGAACGGTCCCTAAATCTAAATGCTAAGGACCTTAGCTCCAGCAGCCACTAACGTCGATTTTTCCCGTGTTGAGCACTCACCGCGGGACAGGCCGCTGTCGCTCCACCACTCACCGGACTCTCTCGAGTTCTACCCACTTTTGGTGGGCGCCGTGGAGAAGGCACCGCACCACGACCCCCATGCGTGCTGGCACGGTGAGAGTCGAATTGTTGCTTCTGCAATTATGTCAGTTGTCCTTCGTCTGCAGGTCACTCTTTCTTGAACAGTCTGGCGCTACTTGCAGTCCATATCACACCCATCACTACGAGTTTATTTATGGGCTTCCCCCTTTTCAAATAAAAAAGAAATGAAACGCAGCCTCTTCTTTTTTTTGTTGGTCCGGGGGGAGGGTCGGGGTGACTTCAAAGGGGGGGGCTCCAGACACAGGAGGACTGGGAAAGAAAGGAGGCCCGCACTCGCGGAGCAGGATGAACAGAAACTGAGAAGTGGATTGTTTGTTTCGACTGCTCATTGGTTCCCAGCTCCTCGCGGCGCATACCGTAGCACAGCACGGACCTCGTGGTCACCGCCAAGGGAATCCCGCTATTCACACGAAAAAGCCACTCCAGCGCACGGCTCCCACGCACCCGGGTGAAGGGGACAAGAAAGAGATGGCCACATGGTTGGTTAACTTCTTGTCTTCTCAAGCTTTTCATTCCTTGTCACCACAGATTGAAGACGACACGAACTGCTCGGTGGCGCGGAGCCACGTCCGTTTAAAAGAACAGATTGACAGGTAATTGTTCGCCATTATTAAAAACGGAAAAGAGACCACGCCGATGTGGTGATAAACTACGTGAGATCGAATCCTGCTGAATCAAGTGCAGTATCTGTTCTGATCAGTTTAATATCTGATCCGAGGTCCATCGGGCCACGTGATATTAAATTATTTTTTCAGGGCTATGGAGGGGTCGCAGGGGTAGGCTTGCCTATTCGACCCTTCCAGCGTTGCCTTCGTGTTGCACTGCGGCGAGGCCCATTTAGAATAAAAAGAAAAAACAAAAAAGAAAAGAGAACTCCGGAGCACGAGGGAACTATCTGGGGTCGGTCAGGT